CTCTCCCGCCCCCCCCCTCCTCCCTCCCTCTTCTTTCCCCCCTTTCACTCTGTCTGAAAATCAATGGGAAAAATATCCTTCGGTGAGAATTAAAAAAAAAAAAAGAAAGTAATCTCTTCACTTTTTTTTAATCCAAAATTTTTGTCTGCTCCATGGCAACATGTTTCTGGTGTTTTTCTTTACCTGTAGGTAGGTTTTGATGCTCTTTCCCACATGTGTTTCTTATAGTATATTTGCATTTATTGTATGCAATCCTTTAATTAAAAAAAACCAAAAACTCATCCTTTAATTAATTGGATTTTCCTGGACTAGCTATTCATTGGGGCTGAGAGGTTCCAAGTAGCCTCCTAGCTGCTCTCTTTGTCTGCTGTCACAGAGACAGATGCCTCCTGTAGCTCTGGCTCCTCTTTGTTATTATCTGCATAGCCCGCTCCTGCTTTTCTGGAAAACACAGTCCAGGAGACTTCTGCTAACAGAACTGCTCATGTACTCGATCTCTGATGTTCCACATGAGAACTACAACTTTCACAAAACAGGGTGAACACTCACCTTCAGAATATATATTTTTTTCTGGTGTTACTTGATAGCTACCCATGCTTAGCCTTATTGCTCCTTTTTTGAATATTTTCTTTACTTTTTTCACACGGCTCCTACCTCATTTGTTTATGGTCACTGCTATATGATCTGGGAGTTATCATTCTTCTTTTTAAATTTTATTTGCTTTAAAATATATTTTTATTGATTTCAGAGAGGAAGGGAGAGGGAGATATAGGAACATCAATGATGAGAGAGAATCATTGATCGGCTGGCTGCCTCCTGCCCGCCCCTTTCTGGGGATTAGAGCCCCAACCCAGGCATGTGCCCCTGACTGGCTGGGCACATTCCCCCTTTTTTTTAAAAAAAAAGCAATTTCCAGAAGGAGAAGGTGAACTATCCAATGCATATAGCAATATTAGTCTTTTGTGTTGATTTTCTTGGTGTATTTGAATAATATATAATAGTTCAGTCTCAAAGTAGTACGCATACATGTGAAGAAATTCTACAAGAATAGGGAAACAACCACCTAAAAAAATTAGACATAGCAGTGTCCCTGGCTCTTATGGAGCTAGGAATAGAGTCTGTTCCCATTAACCAGACTGGAAAACCTTTTGATGCACAAGCATTGGGTGAAGTACACAGCAAAGTCTTGCCTCAATAGTAGGAAATAATTATCCTTAGACTGAGCACTGCTTTACTCTCTCTTAAAAGCAAGACCAGAAAAGCTCTATTTCTAAGCAACCTAATTGCACCCCAGAGCAAAGATAGAGAAGATGAATGAGAACACAAAAATAACCAGCACTCAAATGGGCAAAATTGACAATGCATGACACCTAGTCAAAAATTATCAGGGTTTCAAAGAAGGAAGAAAATATGACCAATACAAATAAGAAAAAAATAACAACAACAACCAAAACTGATGAAGAAATGACCCATGTTTTAGAATAAATATTAAAAGAATTATTATAACTGCATTGTGGAAGTTTAAAAGTTAAGTAGAGGCATGTAAGATATAAATAAGACCCAAACTAAAGTTCTAGAGATAAACTTATAACATGAAATTAAAGCTATATTGAATAGTATTAATTGTAAATTAGACATGGCACAAAAAAATTAGTGAATTTAAAGACAACAATAAAAATTATCCAAAATAAAACACAGAAATTTACATAACGAGTCCTTGAATGAGAGGAGAGAACAAAGATATATTTAAAAAATAATGACTCCAAACTTTGTAAATTTGATAAAAATAATAACTCACAATCCCCGAAAACTCAATGAACTCTATAAATAAGAAACACGAGAAAAATCACATCAAGGCCCACCATAAAAAACAATTACACAAAACTAATCATGACGCCGAAACCGGTTTGGCTCACTGGATAGAGCGTCGGCCTGCGGACTGAAGGGTCCCAGGTTCGATTCCGGTTAAGGGCATGTACCTGGGTTGCAGGCACATCCCCAGTGGGGAGTGTGCAGGAGACAGCTGATCGATGTTTCTCTCTCATCGATGTTTCTAACTCTCTATCTCTCTCCCTTCCTCTCTATAAAAAATCAATAAAAATATATTTAAAAAAAAAACTAATCATGAAGATAAAAAATTAAAAACAGTTATAAGAGATACCCTATGTACAGAAGATAAGAATGACATATTATTTTTGTTAGAAAACTCAAACAAGAAGAGAGTAGCTCAAATTCTTAAAGCATTGAAAGAATTCTATACCCAGAAAAAAAAAAGGTTTAAAAAATAATGGTCAAATAAAGACTAAAAACCATATACAAGTTAAAAGAACTCATCATCTTATTTTATAAGAAATGTTAAAGGAAGCCTTGAATGCAAAAGGAAAATGATATCAGGTGAAAATAAGAGCTTAAATAAAAATTACAACAATGCAATATGGGATTTATAACCTATGCAAGTTAAATATATGGTGACAACAACACAAGGTTAGAAGGAAAGACATTGAACTGGCACACTATTACTTGAAGGTAGACAGAGATAAGTTAAAGAATTATACTATAAATTCCAGGGAAACCATCTAAATAACAAAAGAAAGAGTTCTAATTAACAAAGAAGATTAAATAGAATAATAAAACACATTCAGTTAATCAAGAAGGAGGCAGAAAAAAGGGAAAAAATGAATAAATAGAACAAACAGGAAAAATAGAAAACAAATAGCAAGATAATAAACTTGAATGTAAATATATTATTATATTAAATATAAATGGTATAGATATCCTAATTAAAAGACAGAGATGATAAGGTTGGTAAATTGTTTAATTCTCCTTGGTTATATAAATTTCAATATTAGTGCCGAAACCAGTTTGGCTCAGTGGATAGAGCGTCGGCCTGCGGACTGAAGGGTCCCAGGTTCGATTCTGGTCAAGGGCATGTACCTTGGTTGCGGGCACATCCCCAGTGGGGAGTGTGCAGGAGGCAGCTGGTCGATGTTTCTCTCTCATCGATATTTCTAACTCTCTATCTCTCTCCTTTCCTCTCTGTAAAAACTCAATAAAATATATTAAAAAAAACAAAAAAAATAAATTTCAATATTAGTACTTATTTATCCAATGAATATTAATTTATTTTTGTTCAATGGGGACACGGCATCTGGTGCTGGGGATATTGACTCAAAGGCTAGCTATAGGTCCTCCTCACATGATCCTTGCAATACGGTGTTGAATCCAGATAAGCAAATAAAAATTAGAACAGAGTGTAATAAGTGCTTGGGCATAAGAATTTGATTCTTTCCTGTATATCTGGAAACAAAAGTGCTTTAAAAATTATTAACACGATGACCACAGCTTGTATCATTTTAATTACAATGATGAATAATTTCCCACTCCTGCTACAATATATAAAGATTTTTAAAAAAATATATTTTATTGATTTTTTACAGAGAGGAAAGAAGAGAGATAGAGCGATAGAAACATCGATGAGAGAGAAACATCGATCAGCTGCCTCCTGCACATCTCCTACTGGGGATGTACCTGCAACCCAGGTACATGCCCCTGACCGGAATCGAGCCTAGGACCTTTCAGTCTGCAGGTCGATGCTCCATCCACCGAGACAAAGATTTTTTTACTAAACAATTGACCAGTTAGTTGTAAGTAAGAACGGAGTAGCATCTATGAGATCTGCCAAATTTATTTGTGTGCATTTCGTATTTCCCAATTCTCTCCCTCTATTAAGTCAAGGAGTCTCAACTTGGGTCAATTTTGCTCCCAGGGGACATGTGACAATATGAAAATGTTGGGGTAGGGTACTACTGGCATTCAGTGAGTAGAGGCCGAGGATGCTGCTTAACATTCTACCATTCACAGGGCAGTCCCCTCTTCCCGAAAAACAAACCACCTAGCTCAGAAAGTCAATATAGTGCCTTGGTTGAGAAACCCTGAACTTGGTGACCCAATTCATCCAGTTTGCCTAGAACTTTCCAAGTTTTAACACTGAATGTCTAGCAGTCATAGAAACTCCCGGGTCTAGTCTTATGTAAATAGTGAAGACTGATCATCCTGTCTCCTACCTGCTGATATTAGAAAAGCAGTCTGTATTCAAATAGTTGTTCCTTTTGGTTAGGAGAGTCAGATCCATAGTGTAATGACAATCATAATCAGCATGAATGTAAATTGAGCATATATGGAGGACATGAGTACCAGGAGGCAGGGATTGTTGGCGGCCTGCCTGTCACACAGGGGCCTCAAAGCTAAGGATTGCGTCCTCAGGGTAGAGGTGCTAAGTAGGAGTATAGAGTGTCCCTGTGCCAAGTTTTGCAAGGACTGGAGCCTTGACAGGAAACATGGATCCGGCAAGCATCACGGATTTCAGACTCAGTTGGGTTAGAATGGAAGGGCACCACACCCTAAGAATGACTGTAGAAGGAAAGAAACAAACACAGATGCCACACGTTTTTGTAATGTAATTAAATTCTCAAAACAAACACATGTAAAAGGTATCAGCCTCCTTTTACAGATGAAGAAATTGAGGCCCAAAGAGGATAAGTATCTTTCTTAAGATCACACAGGTATTGATGTGATGATTAAAAAACTGTGAATATACTAAAAATAATTGAATTTTACACTTAAAACAGAAACATACTATGATATATAAATTATATAAACACTAGAGGCCCAATGCACGAAATTCATGCAAGAGTAGGCCTTCCTTCCCCTGGTTGCTGGCACCCGGGACCCAGGTTTCCCTCGCAGCCCTGGTTTTGTCCGGAAGGTTGTCTGGTCTAATTAGCATATTACGCTTTTATTACTATAGATTGTAAAGATTATAATGGCAGAGAATACACATTCCATGCATTTTCCCATTTCTTTAAAAAAGCAAAAAATAATAAAAGCCCTATTCTTAGAACAGTGTTTTCAAATAGAGCAGGTTGAAAATCAAATACTCCATTACAAACACTACTTTGAGTGACATCCAGTGATGGAAATGAAATATCTATTTTGCCTGCAGCCAGCAGTCAGATAGCCAATTAAACAGGTGCAGTTCTATTTTTCTGTTATTTGTAGGGGGAGGCATGGCTCTACTGTAAAGATGCATTCAGAACTGCAATGCAATTAAAATGACTCTAACGCTAATGTCCTGAAGGTAACCACTAAATAGACAGGTGTGGGTGAAGTCCGTTTTTTTTGTTTGTTTGTTTCGAGTAACAGTACCCTTAACTTATAAAAACACCAGAAGTCTATAATTCTGTGATGAATAAAATGATACTTGTGAGGAAGGGGTACAAAAGAAGGGGATTGATTGTGGAAGAATTACCATCAGAGCTGGGTAATTTCCTTGGCAAAAGTAAGATGAAACTCTCCTTCCCTGAATAAGATTGTTCCGCATTTGTGACTAACAGATGGACCAAAGTGTATGATGTAAAAGCAAAGAGGTATGCCACAAGAGGCTAATTCAAAGCAAACAGAAATCTCATTGTTGAGAGCTCAGAGGAGGAAGGACAGCCAGTGACTAAATTGAGAGTGTATTCCTTTGTGTGTGTGGAGATTTACCCACACATCCCTTTACTTTTTCGTTCACATTCTTTCTCTCCTTTGGTTGGATTTCAAGGCAATCTACTCTCTGCCCTTTTGTCCCCATACTGGTTATACAGAGAAGCAGTTATGGAACCTGCATATCAAACAGGTGGACCTGGGAAATGAGAAAGTAATTCTGAAATGATGATTGCTTTCTGCTGCCCCGGAGGTCCATCCACTTTCACAGGCACCGGGTGACACAACTGGATTTAGAGCTACAGTAATTGTTTAGAAAGGTAATTATGGATACGTCAGGGTCATTTAGACATTTTATAATATAAGAAAATACGATCAGTTTTTAAAAAGTAAAATGTTCATCAGAAAGTTCCATAAAAATATTGACTCATAGGCAGGGGCAGATCCAAATTTTGTGGCACTTGACGTTTTTATAATTTTGGGCCCCTTTATATACCCATGAAGTACAAACAATGAATAGTCAAAGGCCAAAAATCACAGTAACTTGTCTGGGACTTTGGAGACTGAGTTCCCTTTCTTTTCGAATTTCTTTAAACCATTTCCAGAAATTCCCACTCAGAAGTGTTTGTTGATCGCAACCTTAGCATCTCCTCGGCACCTACAACACTCTTAAATTTCCAACAACTCCTAGGCATTTAAGCTTCATTGGTAGCATCCGCTGCCTACAAGAACTATAGCTTATTTTTTCTCGCTTGAGAAGCCTAAAATGATCGTGAAACCTAAATAACAGAAACTTTCCATCTGATGCTTATTTCATTATAAGAACTGAAAACCCCCCACACTTATCGATCTACCTCGGCCTCGCAGCTGGTATCCGTCTTGGGTTTTACAGGTACCGGGATGGTGTCCAGCTGAAACCCCGGGCAATCAAATCCCACGTTGCACGCCCACAGCGGGAGCCCGCGGGGACCGCACGCCGCCCG